ACCCGCATCGGCTATGAATTATAGATGAATTCATAAAGCGTACGGAATGTATTGACAACCCACTTCGATGGAACTTACTTGACTTTTATTGCGAGGTTGCCAGGTCAGCCATACGGGAGGTTGCGGTTTCGGGACCAGGGTTAGCAATCTCTCGGTAAAATGTGATTGGGGAGGGACGTGTTTGTTGAAAACGTCGTGGTTCCGGGAAGGAGGGGGATGCGTTTTAGACCCAATTTTGATTCTTTCAACGAAAACTTCACTAAATAAGCGTGAAAGAGACAAAGTTGGAAGATTTCTCGTTGCTTGGGACATATTTACACACGCGCGACAGCCATTTTGTAGGGGAAAGCAGGCGAAGCGGGTGTGTTGACTGGTCTGATGGTGAGAATCAAATGCTATAGGCCAATGTCGGTCAGACTTTGCGAGTCGAGCGATTCGCTGCAGCGCAACGCGACCGCAGACGCTAGCGAATCGCTAGTACCGATCGCTCGATTAGCAAAGTCTGACATCGGCCTTCACTGGATGTCCTCTTCTGAACTTTGCAAGGAATCTTCCGCTCTTCCATGCGCTCTGTCCCCTAATACACCCCAGATGGTATGGTCCAGCAGGTTGAAATCAAGGGGTATGAGAGGGGAAGAGTAGCATTGTACAAAGGCGAAACTGGCTGCAAAAAAGATGACTGTTGAATTTCACCTTGTTCTGGATACACCGTTGCCCAGATGTGTCGCAAGTGAAGCCACTTGGACAGCAGTGAAGGTGATCAGCACAGCAGTTCGCTTCTTCTACTGGACAGCATCCGTACCTTCCACTCACGAGCATACAGCACGTGCTTCCTAAACCAGTAATGATCAGGATATCGGCTAAATCCAACCATTCTTCTGCAGAGTTCCCTATCTTACAGAGCCGTTATTTTAGCTTTTTATTATTTCTTTTCCCCCATACCATGTTTTTCTACAATCAGCTGTTTTATGGCGACTATTCTTGTGCTAAGTGCCCATAACTTTCGTCCTGCTTCACCTTTACATGCTCACTGGGACGTGTAATTAATGTCGTGCCTAACCAATGAGTGGCACATGACGATCAAAGAGGGTTCCACGATAAGGACGAAGGTAAGGAAGAAGGTCGAAGAGGGGAAAACTTAGCCAATGGAAAGACAGACGGGCCTCGTAGGAGTCGCATCGAACGATAGTCCGTACATCTACATATGGCCTCGCGCCCTTTCCACTTTCGGGCTACTGGCCGTTTTCCTCGGTTTTCCTTTTTTTGCGTATCATTGACCATCTCTAACTTAATGCCTTTTTATCGTAAAAGCCGCCTTTAAGTCAGGGCGCAGTACCTGTTGGCATCTTGCGCCTCGATACAGACAAAGATTCATCTTCCTCCGTGATTTCTGGTCTTTGGCTTCCTTCCTGATAAAACACTTCACCCTGTAATAATAGACAGTACACGTCATGCACAATGCAATATGAGAAATCAAAGTATTGGAGGAACAGAACAATATTATCTTGAAGGAGGACCCACGCACACGGCTATATAGCCAAGGTTACCTATTGATCGAGAAGACTGATCTCTCGGAATTTAGGCCGATTCGACATCGCTGGCAAGTCGAACAATGGTCTTCCCGCGGTCGCAATTGGCGCCGCACCCCCACACGCTTGTCTCGTTGTCTACCGTTGGTCGCGTTACCATGGACTGCGTTAGCGTTGAAGAGGCACTACGATAGAGTGGCCTCCATGCGACAAATGAAGTTCAAAGAACGCATCCTTCCTAAGAGTTCTAGGCCACTTTTCTCGCTTTTTTTCTGCCTGCCGTACCTCCATCACCATCTCTAAACTGCAATCCAATGGAATTGTGCGCCTTTTTTCATCAAAAATTCAGTCTCCTCCCAGTAATAGGGGCATCCAAGCCGCTGCCCTCACAAACCCACCACACACCTCCTGTTGAGTCTGTCGGCAAGCTGGGAAATAAATTGAATCGTAAATAGGTGTTGCCCCATAGACTGCCTACACTCTCCTCCTGGCGCACAGGTTTCTCGAAGTACGGGACCCCTGTGAGCCAGGGGGAGTGAAGGCAGTCTAGGGGTTGGGGGGGGGGGGGTGAGGTCAGCCACTTGACGTTGCATCACAATGCCCCCTTCACTGGATGAGACCCGAAAATCGCCCTTTGAACAAAAAAAAACATTCAAAAAACACTTCCTACTGAGCTCACATTTGTTTGAGTGCACCGAGATCCTTGTGGATCGCACTTTGTATCATGCGGACAGCAGTGGATATGATCATCACAGCAGACTGCATTTGGAAAAGGGCAGCAACCCACCACGAGCACGTTCAAAAGAGAATATCAAAAATGACAAATTATCGAGAAAAAGGTAAAAATTGTGCACCGGCAGCCGACAGCAAGTCGCTGAGTCTGGGCAGAAGGAGCCTTCGCCACAATTATGCGATTCCTGGAACAGAATGGTAAAAGCAAAGTTATTCATGTACTTATAAAATTTTCCTCATTTTTGAGTAACTATCAAGCCCCGCGGTTCTCATTTGTAAAGCTAGGAAGCTCAAAAATGTTCAAATTCGATAGTAACTTGCAAACTTTTCGAATAAAAATACCTCAGGGGTTACCTAACGCTTGCAATACAGTAAAACTCCCCAAAAGCAACCTAAAAAATTTCAATTGACCAACTTACAGCAATTACAAAAAAGGAGACGATCAAGACTACTTGTGTGATGGAGGGCATGGCGATGACCGAAGTGTCGTCTTATCTTATCGACTGTGTTTTGATTGACCACCTGACAATTTGCCTACCCTGGTACCGCATCTATCGGGGTTGTTGAGTTACGAGAAATTGGGCTACGTTAGCTGGATGCATCACCAGTTCTGTTCCCAGCTCTTACCGTCCTTACCACACTTTTACCACCACTGTGGCCCTAAAGGCACCATAGTTGATTATCATCCTGGGTTGCTAAGAGTGGTTAGGCAGTTTTGACCTCCAGTTGAAGTTTGTTTATACAAAGATGTGGACTATAGCAAAAATTCAGTGATCAAAATAGGACCCCCTACAAGCTGCAACTTCTCCCAACGATGAATTGGTAGCTTTCTGTAATGATCTACATTCGGCCCATTCGGAAATACTATCCTTTTTTGATCCTCAAAGGCGGAGTTTACGATGAAAAGGCAACCCATCAGAAGTCAAAGTAGAGGTGGGCGCTATCGCAATATACGGGGGCATTGTGGTGGCAGTGCTATACATGTCTTTTCTATTTTAAAAATTAGACCAAGCCTTAGGCCCGGGTGGAGAGACTCCAAGCTGCGTTAGCCATTTTCATTTCCCCAGAAGCTCCTGCCCTCCTAGGCTTGGTCCTGGAGGATGCCCCCGTATACTGTGATAG